GCCCCCTGGGGCCGGGTGGCACCAGCCTGGCCGGCCTGCCCCTCAGCTCCCCTTCAGTTCTCCCCACGCAGCCCTGGCCCCCAGCTGGGCCTCAGAGGGGTGACCTCGCCCCGGGGCTCGGTGATGGGGGAACCGAGGCCCACGTCAGGTGAGGGACCTGCCCAGGGTCACAGAGCAGGTTGGCGGCAGAGCTGGGCCTGGAACGGCAGCCTGTGGCCCTGGGGGCAGGGGTGGTCTGCCTGGGGGTTTTGGGGAGCACACAGCGGGAGGGGCTGCTCACATCACTGTCGGGGGCTTCAGGTTTTCCCTGTGCCACCGGGAGGCGGGGAGATGGAGTGGCACCGCAGCTCTGGGGACCCAGCGTCCCTCCTGGGCGCCTTGGCTGTCTCGTCCTGAAGCCTTGGCTGCGGCCACTGTGTGCAGTGCACCCGGCTCTCCCCCAGCTTAGGTGTTTGTACTCAGTTTACCCACAAGGACAGTGAGGGACCTGGGGCTCCGCCCTCCCTCCCTGCCTCCCAGGCAGGGCTCACCTGGGCAGAGGTAGGATGGAGCAGCGCTCGCTTCCTGTCCTTGGCGGGGGAGGGGCCCTTCGGCATCTGTCTCCATTGTCTCCCGCCCTGGGGCTCCTGCACCTTGTGCCGGGTCAGGGTTCCAGCTGGCAGGCTCCTCGCTCCCCACTGCCTGTCCCCCCTCCCTCTCTGCCACCCCCGTTCGCCAGGGCCTGGCAAGGGTGTGGTCGCAAACCCTGCCACCAGGGCTTTGGCGAGCAGGTGCCGGGGCAGTTGGCAGGAGTGTGGGGAGGCCTCCCCAGGTGGGGGGGGCAGGAAGCAGAGGCTGGTGTGGGTGACGGGCTGAGCTCGGCACCTAAGGCTGGCATCCTGTGGCCCCACGAGGGTCCCCTCTGTGCCTGCCTGTGCTGGGAGAGTGGCGTCTGCGGAGGGGCAGCCTGAACGTGAGACACCCCCCTCCCCCAGCAAAGGACAGCCTCCTCCCCACACCCCCGTGACCCGTCCCCGAGCGCCGGGCAGGCCCAGGGGCGAGCCTGTGCGGGGCGGGGCGGGGGCGGTTTGGCCTCAGCGCCCTGGTTGCCCTGGTCGCCCTGGTCGGGCGTGGGTGCGGGACTGGCCGAGGGGACCAGTGGAGCCTCCTCTCCTCCCCTCCCCAGGCTGCCCGCCCCCACTTCCTCTTCTTGTGGCCACTGGGGCCCCAGGCCCTGCAGCGGCGGCGGGGCCAGAGGCAGCCAGGCTAGGGCTCCTGCCCGCCAGCACTGCTGGGTGAGGAAGTGGGCCTGTGTCTGCGTCGCTGGGGTGGTCTCAGTACCCACCCCGGGGCGGGGCTGGCTGCTGCAGGTCAGCCAGTCCTGTGGGGGTGGGGGTGGGGTGGGGGGTTCTGAGCGCCCCGCAGGCCCGGCCTCCTCGGCTTTGCTCCGGGGAGGAGTCCCACACTCCCGTCTCCACTGCCACCTCGGTGTGCCCCCCACCTCGGTGTGCCCCGAGCTCCCTAACTCCGCCCTGGGAGGCCACTAGAGAGGATGTGGGGAGCTCTGTCCCACCTCCTGCAGCCCTGGGCTCGGCGCCTGGGACACAGTGACAGAGGCGCGAGTGCAAGGGGGTCCCTCCCTGGCTGGCTCAGCCTGTCCCAGAGGGAGGCCTTGGCCGGCTGTGACTGCCGGGCCCGTTCTTACCGCTGGCCTAAGTGGGACCCCTCACCCCCAACTCCGGGCCCACCGAGGGGCTGCGAGGGCTTCCTGGATACAGCAACGGGGGGGGGGGCGGTCTAGGCTGCAAGTGACAAAAACTGACAACTGGCTTCAGTGGCCAGTGGCATTGCTTGTCCCCTGCGCCTCAGGTGTCGGAGGCTGCGGAGCTTCAGGCAGAGCTGGGCCCAGGGCCCTGGGGGTCTCTCACCCGCTCGCCGCGTGGGCTGTGTCCTCGTGGGCTGTGTCCTCGTGGGCTCCCAGGCGACTGCCAGGAGCTCTGGAGAGGGCGCCCCTTTCCCGTGGGCCAGCCCCAGTCCCAGAGGAGAGCCTCAGCGAGATGATTTTGGTCACATGTCCGTCCTTAAGCCACTCCCTGGGGCTTGGGAGAGGCCGTACCTGGGACGCGTGGGCGGGGGGGGGGGGGCTGAGAGCGGGGAGATGACAGCGCCTCGCAGAAGTAGGAGACCCTCCCCGCAACTGGACCCTCGGGGGGCCCCTTCCTCCACCAAAGGGGGCTGCTCCCCCTGCCCCCACCAGAGTCGTCATGAGGGGTGGCAGACGGCGAGGGACCTGAGACTGCCGTCCCTCCGGGCAGAGGGGCCCTGGCCCTCCCAAGCGCACGTCTGCTCTGGGGCGAGGGCAGGCCCGGGAGGCAGGGCTTGGCTTGGCCTGAGGCAGGTCCACGGGCCAGGACGGCCTAGCGTCCGAGAGGTCTGCCCGGAGGGGTGTCGAGCTCCTGTCACCGGCGTGTGCAAGCTGAGGCTGCAGGTGGTTTGTGGGAGACATGGCACAGGGGACCCTTTACCCAGGGCTACAGAAGGGCCCCTCAGCTGCTGGCTGAGTCAGCAGCATCAGCAGAACAGGCGGCTGGACAGAAAGGCCTGTGGACCCTCCCTAGCGGCGGGGGCCTCGGGGTTGCGTTTTGGGGGGCAGCTCCCAGGGCGGAGCCATCTGATCCTGGGGTTCCCCAGCTCAGGAGCTGAGGAGGTCCCGGGGTGCCCAGTGCTGTTATTGTCCACCTCCTGTCCCTCCCGCCGTGGCCTGGGACGCAGCCTAATGAGCCCCCTGAGAGTAGCGTTTACCAGCCTGGGTTCCCACGGACCTTCGCAGCTGGTCCCGCTCTCTGCGCGCCTGGCTCAGCCTGGAGGGGTGGGTGGGCGGCTGGCGGAGGAAGGTGGCCAGCAGCATGTGCGTGTCTGTGCACATGTGTGCGTGTGTGGTTTTGCCTGGGGGATGGAGCATCTGTGGGAGTAGCCCCAGCCCCCTGGTGTTTGGGGTGTCTCAGTCAGCAGCCCTGACGCCCCAGCTTTGGCACCAGGCCCGAGGGACGGGCGGCGCTCACACCGGAGCCGCGGCTGCGGGCAGGAGCTCCAAGGGGAAGCCGCTCTGCGGGGACCAGGGGTGCCGGTGTGGGAGCTGGCAGACCCGGGGCTGAGCTCCCGCCGCTGCTGCTGGAGACCGTGGGCAAGCCGCTCGGCCTCTCTGGGCTCAGATGCGTATCTGCAAAATGACTGTAACACCTTGGCCTCAGCAGGCCAGGAAGGTGGCGGTGGGTGCGGTGCAACGGTTCTGGGGGGGGTGCCCGGACTGGGGGCGTCGCAGGGCAGGGGCCCGAGCCCGTCCCACAGACCCTGCAGCACGGCGTGGGCGTGGGGGTGAGCACGGAAGCACGTCGCTGGCGGATGGAGCCTGGGCCGGTGGAGAGTTAGAGGCTGTGTGTGCCTCCGCGGGCTGGGCTACTCCGATGTTAAAACCAACATTTACAAATGGGTGTTTTGCGGAGAAATGAGATTCATAGCTTGTCTAAGCACTTTGGCAGCCGGGGCCCACCCTCTGCAGGTTGCCCGGGTGAAACAGGTGCCCTGCCTGGGCCTGCAGGCAGCCAGGACCCCAGATCAACAAGCCCCCTCCGCCCCCAAGCACGTGCTTTTTCCGCTTTGTTCCGGGGGAGTTGCGGGCGGGCGGGACGTCAGGAGCTGGGCTCCCGGCCCAGGCTGCTCCCTTGACCCAGGCCCCCCAGCTCCGCGCCCTGTGTCTGGGGACTGTGCAGTGCGGGGTCACTTTGGGGACTGGGAGCCCCAGGCCCCGAGAGCCAGCCTGGCACATGGGCAGGGCCCTGGGCGCGGAGGGCCCGGGCCGGATCGCCAAGCCTTTTTGGAGTCAGTGGTGAGCAAACGAAGGCGTGGTGTTGGCGAGATGGGCCCATCCGGGCTGAGGGGCGCAAGCCCGGGGTCTGCTCCCCACTTGGTCACAAAGCGTCCCCTGTGTTCCCTTTCTGAGGCTCCGAGGCTCCGTCCCTCTTCGGGAAAGTGGAGCTTGCAAACGTCTCGTTCTTGTCAGGGGGCCTCTGTGGCCTCATGTGGAAACGTGACACGACATGGAGGCGGGTGCGCGACTCAGGTGCACCGAGGAGTGGGGTCCTGCCAGCAGGCCCGGGGGGCAGAGCAGAGCCTGCTGACACGCTCCACAGACATGCTCGCCCGACCTAGCACAGGGCAGCCCCCGGAAACGCTCTCGGAAGGGGAGGCGGCCTCAGTGGCCGCTGCCAGGATAATTAGCCACGTGGGAAAGGACAGGGAGCTGGATCCCTGCCTCACACCGTACACGAAATGCGAGCTGGACCGGAGACCGGTAATGGCGACATAGGCCAAGCTCTCGGGCAGTGCCGTCCGGTGGACGTTTCTGGACGTCCTGTATAATAGCCACCAGGGGTGTGTGGTGGTTGAGTGCTTGAAATGGGACTGGTGTGACCGAGGGACCGAGTTGTTCATTTCATTGTAATCAACTTTGATTTTAAAGAGCCACATGGGGCTGGTGACGATGGTACCCCAGTCTGGGGCACACGGGGCGCGCTTTATGAGCGTGGGGCATGCAGAGCGTTACAAAGGACTCAGGCGGGTTCAGGCTCAGGCTGATACATCGGACCGGGGGCTGTCAAGCTCCCCGCCGCCGCGGCGGGGGCCGGAGGGCCCCCGTGTCAGCCCTTCCCTGCCTCGGCCTGCTCAGGTCAGATCCGGGTCGCTTTGTGTGTCTGCAGAGCTGAGGAGCCCGCGTGTCTGGTCAGCCCGGCGTGGATGCAAAGGACGATGACCGCAGTGCAGTGACCGAGGCCCCGCAGTGGCGCGGGCAGGCCTGCGTGGCCCATGGGTCTGCCGGCGGAGAGGGCCCCTCCCCAGCCCCGTCTGCCAGGCTCAGGGAGGCCAGAGGCCTAGGACTGCAGGGGCGGGGGCAGCACGCCGATGCCCCCCCGGCCGCACCGTCTCCTGAGCGGACTGCCGGCTGGGCGTGCCAAGGCGGGAACATGCCGGCCAAGGGACGTTACTTTCTCAACGAGGGCGAAGAGGGCCCGGACCGGGACGCCCTGTACGAGAAGTACCGCCTCACCAGCCAGCACGGCCCGCTGCTGCTCACGCTGCTGCTGGTGGCCATCGCGGCCTGCGTCGCCCTCATCATCGCCGCCTTCAGCTACGGGGTGAGTGCGGGCGGCCCCCGGGCGGGGGGCTCCCCTGGGGTTCGGACCTCGGCGCGGACGCTCGGTCCTCGGGAGGCCTTGGGCGAGTCTCCGCGTTTCCGCACCTGTGAAGCGCTAGGCTGACGGGAGGCAGGTTTTTAAAATGTTGCCATCTGGGGCGGTTTTAGATATTACATTAGTTTGGCCAAATGAGCGACCCTCACGTTTCTCCACTGTGAGCTTGGATCCTGTGGAGGACCGCGGCCAGGGATGGCGTGCCTGTGACGGCCGCTGCTTCTGCTGCCACGGCAGACGCTGTGCTTCAACGCCACGCTCCTCCTCCCGGAGCCTGGCTGCGGTCTCGGGGTCCGTGGGAACGCAGCCGTCCAGCCGACGCCACCGACCCCGTCTCTGGCCCTGCCCTGCTCCGGCCGCTACCGCCCTGCAGCCGCTGAGCGCTTGACACGTGGCTGCTATGGCTGAGGGACTGATTTCTCATTTACCTTGAACTCAAGGAACCTTCGTTTGGAACGGCCACGTGTGGCTGGTGGTGGCTACAGTGTGAGACGAAAGCGTGGGGGTGTTGACAGGGTGACGTGGGTGTCGAGTGCCCGGCACCCAGTAGGTGCTGCGGGACTCTTGTTCCAGCACTCAGCAGACAGCGACTGAGCACCGACCGTGTGCAGGCGCCCCATCAGCCTCCGTGCGCATGGAGCTGAGGGGCCCCGCAGGGACACCGGGTGCTGTCCCTCTGAGACCTCTTTCCTGCAAGCCCCCGGGTGTGCCAGTCTGCGCCTTGGCGCCAGCTCTCCCCCTCTGGGTGTCATCGCTCGTCCCTCCCTTGTACACCTCTGTTGGCTCTGAGAGTCAGCGGCAGTGGCTTTGCTCCTGGTCTCCTGTACCTGTCCCCCAGGGAGTTCTGATGGGGGGCGGGGTGGAGGGAGGGAGCGAGGCCGGGCCGGTGTGCAGGCTGCTCAGGTCTTTGCGGGGGCAGGGAAGAGGCGTTGGTGCAGGCAGCCCGGCAGGTGTGAGCCTGGGCCAAGCCTGCAGGCGAGAAAGACCGTGGCGTTTGGAGGGAGCACAGTCGCCGCCTGCGTGGAGGGGCTGCCGGCAGCTGGAAGCCCCGGGCAGGCTGGAGAGGCCGACCCGGCAGGCTCTCCGGAGGCGGTGGCACCGGCCGGGCTGGGGAAGGCCATGGCATTTCCGTGAATGTTTTCCGCACCCAGGGCCCGTCCGGACAGCAGGCTGTCCTGGGGACCGCATTCCTGACGCTGGCCGTGTTTGCGGTGCTGGCCCTGCTGGTGTGCATGGAGTGCCTCAGCCGCCGGTGGCTCTGGGCCTCCGCGCTGCTCACCTGGGCCTGCCTCGTGGCGCTGGGCTACGTGCTGGTGTTTGATGCGTGGAGGAATGGGACTTGTGCGTGGGAGCAGGTAATGGGCGGGGCTCATCCCGGGGGGCAGGGGGGCAGGGGGGCAGGGGGACAGGGGGGCAGGGGCAGGGCAGGCGGGGTGGCAGCGGCCAGCGCGGAGAGTGGACAGGGCGCAGCCTCCCGGTCGTTACCTTTCCTGCAGAGGGAGAGCCGCGGGCAGCGGGCAGCGGGCAGCAGGCGGGCGCGCCCTGGGTCACGCCCGAGGGCCTGGGGAGGCTCGGCCTCGGCCCAGGCTATGAACCAGCTGATAGGAAACGATGGGTCAAGTTGGCTGGTCTGGCCCAGGAGGCGACTGCGACTTTTCCCTTCCCCGATGGGTGTCTGTTACCACCTCTCTCCACGCAGGGAGGGCAGGAGGGAGGGCAGCGGGCGCCCGTGGCCTGGGCTGTGTCCCAGGCTGGGGGCGTGGCCGGACCCCACCCTCATGCCCAGTGCCCCGCCCCCAGGTGCCCTTCTTCCTGTTCGTGGTCTTCGTGGCCTACACGCTGCTGCCCTTCGGCATGCAGGGGGCCATGGTGGCGGGCCTCGTCTCCAGCGCCTCCCACCTGCTGGTGCTGGGCGTTCTGATGAAGGTCTTCTCGTCCCCCAGCGTCGGGGTGGGGCTGCAGGTGAGCGAGGGGCTCCAGGGGGCCTGGGCGGGGACGCTGGTTCCGGCTGGGGACAGCCAGGCCCATGGGGAGACAGGGGTGAGTAGGTCCCGAAGCTTGGGGGCCGTGTTTGAAGACCGACGGCCTCAAGGGCAGGGGAAGCCGGCCCCCTGGGCAGGCGCCTGGCCCTGCGGCCTTTGCTGGTGCCCTGGAGGCTCAGCCCCGCCCTTGACTTCGGGCCCTCGGGCCCCTTGCCAGGTGCAGTGCACTGTCCCTGGATGAGCTCTGCCCCAGGCCTCGCCTGACAGGGCCGGGGATGTCCCTGGACGTTACGCCTGTGTCTTCGTGTTGAGTGAGCAAAATTTGCCAGCACTCAGTGCTGACTTATGCGTGTGTCTCCCTCCTGCCGGGGCCTGGAGCCGGCTCCCGAGGCCGAGGCCGAGGCCGGAGCTCTGGGCGGCCAGGTGGACGCCCTGCCCCTGCGACAGCCCTTGGTGCTCCCTCGGGCCCCGGGCTCTGACAGGCGCGTGCTCCTGCCTCCCCAGACGCCACTGGTCCCCTGGTCTCCGGGGCCTAGCGAATGCTGGGCAGGTGCTGAGTCAGGCGTGAGCCCTGTAGCCACAGCGACTCCCTAGGAGGCCAGCCCTTGTCTGGGTCTCAGTTTCCCTGCCCACCCCAGGATGGGCACAGCCCGAGGGGGTTTGATGTCAAGGCATGGCAGGAGTGCCACCACCAGCCCCCCCAGGGGACGGTGCCCCAGGGGCATGGACCAGGCCAAACCCGAGCCCGCCCCTGCCCGCAGCTGCTGACCAATGCCATCATCTTCCTGTGCGGGAACCTCACGGGTGCCTTCCACAAGCACCAGATGCAGGACGCCTCCCGCGACCTCTTCACCTACACTGTAAAGTGCATCCAGATCCGGCGGAAGCTGCGCATCGAGAAGCGCCAGCAGGTGGGGGTCCCGCCTGCCCCAGCTGTGCCCCCGGCCCCACGCCCTGCAGCCCTTCTCTGTGGACATCCAGCGGCGTGTGCGTGGGGGGTGAGGCCCGACACCCACGCAGGCCTCACCTCAGGGCACTGTGGGGGACATGGGAGGACACGTGGCTGGCCGGGCTGGGGCAGGGCCTAGGCCGGCAGAGGTGGGAGGAGCAGCGGGCAGAACAGAAAGGAGAGGTGGGAGGCCAAGGCTGGGGCTTGACATCCCCCCGCCTGCTCCCCCCCACCCCGCCCCGCCCCTGGTGCCCAGGAGAACCTGCTGCTGTCGGTGCTGCCGGCCCACATCTCCATGGGCATGAAGCTGACCATCATCGAGCGGCTCAAGGAGTGCGGGGACCGCCGCTACTTGCCTGACAACAACTTCCACAGCCTCTACGTCAAGCGGCACCAGAATGTCAGGTGGGCGGGACGGGGTCTGCATGGCATCTCCTGGGAAGGCCCCTGTGCCACCTGGCTGGGCTGTGGGCGGCCCAGAGCTCTGACTTCGGAGCTGGGAGGCCTGGGGCCAATGGCCGCTCTGGCTTCCCGGGCAGCCTTAGCCTCCCCAGCCTCAGTTTGCTCATCTGTAGAATGGGAGTCTGACAAGGGTGGGGTGGGGTCGCAACGTAGGAGGGCATTCGGCTCTGAAGTCGGTGCGAAGGTGAAAATCTGCAGGGGTGCCTGCCTTTTGGCGCCTCTGGGCCACACTGGAAGAAGAGTTGTTGTCTTGGGCCATGCATTAAGTGCACTATGACGTGTAATCACAAAAAAAAAACAAAACTCATGATGTTTGAAGTAAATTTAGAGTTTTGCGTTGGGCCCCAGTCACAGCCTTCCTGGGCTGCGTGTGGCCCACGGGCCGCAGGTTGGACACCCCAGACCAGGGGGAGGAGAAGGAAGTTGTCAGGTGCCAGCGCGTTTGCTGGTAGGAGTGCCATCGAGCAGCAGTGGCAGCAGGGTCTGGGGTGGGGTCTGCAGGCCCCGCCCCCTGGGGGATTTGCCTTCACCCAGACCCTCTGGCACTTGGTCTTTGTGGTCGGAGGGCCCCTCCCACTCCTAGGGAGGCTGTGGAGTGGCAGGGGTGGCTGGGGCTCTGGATGTCCCCGTGCTCCGCGGGGCTGGCTCTGACCCTCCCGCCGCTCCCCCCACCCCCAGCATCCTCTACGCTGACATTGTGGGCTTCACGCGGCTGGCCAGCGACTGCTCCCCCAAAGAGCTGGTGGTGATGCTGAATGAGCTCTTCGGGAAGTTCGACCAGATTGCCAAGGTGAGCCCACCAGCCCGCGCTGCCCACCGTGGGTGGGAAAGCCAGGAGCCCTCTCCCGTTGCATCCCGGCGTCCCGTGCCCAGCGCCGTGCTGGGGTAGGTGGGGGAGGCCTTGGTGGAATTTGAGCCTTCAGTCAGCAAATGCGTTTGAGTGCCCTGCGGTGGAAGTGGAGGTCAAGTGGTGGCTGAGGTTGCTGGAATTCTATCCCACCAGAATGTGAGGCCTGTGGGGAGACTGAGAGTCCGCAGCAGGGGGTGCATGGGGCTCAGGAGCTCAGACAGGGGCTCTGGAAGGCTGCCTGGAGGAGGCGGCTCCATCCTCACTGTGCAAGGCTGGCAGCCTTGGCCTCTCCTGGGAGCTTGGGAGGGCTGTGGGATGCTGGGCCTACCCAGATCTGTCTCTGACAACATCCCAGGTAGATCATGTGAACGGGAATGTTTGAGAAGCTTCAAAAGAGCCCCGAGGAGGAGAGGGAACAGTGTTTTGGGCAGAGGGAACAGCATATACAAAACCCTGGAGTAGGCAGTTCTGTGTGCCCATGGGATGAAAGCAGCTCAGTGCGAAGGGGGTCCAGGTCACAGGGTTAGGCCAGCAAGGACTTCGAGGGCTGAGGTGAGGCGAGAGGGACTTGACCTAGGTCCCTGGAGAGCCTGGCAGGATAGGGCAGAGAGAGTCTCCAGGATGCAGCTGGTGGGCAAGAGGTCTGGAGACCAGACAGGGCTGAACTGGGGTCTCACTGTTTTGCCTGTGTGAGCAGCATGGGAGTGGGGGCTGGGGTTGGGGGAGGGGCCTCCGCTATTCATTGATTTACATAGCGGTCCCAAGCCCTGCCGAGTGGCAGCCCTGAGCGTGTCTGGGGCCTTGGGCTTGTCCTGAAGTCGCTCCAGCCTACAGGCCCTGCGGTTTGCTGAGGGCCGCAGGGGCTGGGCCTGGGTAGCGCCTGGCCCGGACGCAGGTGGTCAACGCAGGCTTGCTGGGAGCGGTGGCCACTAACTACAGACCCAGTGGGAGATGTGAGGCAGGGGCGCTCTATCCTGACTGTGTATTTGAGTCGCGTGGAAAACTTAAAGCTCCCCCATGCCCATGCCCATGCCCATGCCCATGCCGCTTCAAGTGCAGAGGACCCAGTGGTCTGAACTTGGTGGGAGGCAAGGCCTGGCCCGCACTAGGGATTCTTTTTGTTTAGATTTTATTTTTCAGAGGGAGGGGAAGGGAGGGAGAAAGAGAGAGAGAGAAACATCAATGTGTGGTTGCCTCTCATGCGTCCCCTACTGGGGACTTGGCCCACAACCCAGGGCTGTGCCTTGACTGGGTATCGAACCAGAGACCCTTTGGTTCGCAGGCTGGGGCTCGATCCACTGAGCCACACTAGCCAGGGCATAGGAGGAGATTGTTATGGTCAGAGCTGTTCAGTTTGAGGAGGGGCTTCCCTGCCAGGGGTAGGCTCTGTCTTTGGGGATGAGCCTCCCGTCACAGGGGTAACCAAATTATAGTTGGACACCACTGGGCAGTGGTGCTCAGGAGGGCCATCCCGTGCTCTGCAAGCCCCAGGTGCTGCGGACTGAGTGACTCAGCGGGCCTGTCCAGCCTGCAGCCTGCCTTCATGACTTGAACCAGCAGACTGGAGATCCCAGAGGCTGGGCCTCATGGGGAGCCGGGGGCCAGGGGCCAAGGTCTCGGGCCACAGCTGGCCCTCCCAGACATAGCCCTCCCTCCGGGCAGGCCCAGGGGGTGGCCCCGTCTTACAGTCGGGGCAGGAAGGCTGTGGCGGGTGGCAGCCCCCCAGCTGAGAACTGGGCAGGGCCGGCCCCCGCCTTTTCTCCCCCCGGTAGTCGACTTCCAGAACTGTAACTCGCGGGGGACACGGCTTGCCCTCTGAGGTGTCACATTGCATCTGGGCTCAGGAACCCACTGCCCCCAACACGGCCGCACAACGTCCTCAGTGTGTGTCGGTGGCCAAGGAGCAGCCCGGGACAGGGCTCCCAGAAACCCCCGATGGCGGCGCGGGCGGGTCCCCAGGGTGCGGGCCGGCCCCAGGGGAGCAGCGGGGGCCTGACCCGTGCCTGGCGTTGGGCCCGCCCCTGACTTCCTGCTGCTCTCTAGGAAAGCTGTTTTCCTTTCCTCGCCCGCTGGCCAGGCCACCCAGAGGTTAGCGCGAGGCAGGCGGGCCGCCCTCAAGTGGGGTCGCTGCAGGAGGGTTTAGAAAAGGGGCTGCCCAGGGAGGCGTGATAGGTCCCGGGACCTGGCCGGAGGGGTGGTGTCCTGCCTCGTCATGGGCGCAGGGCCGTCACCCCTAGCATGGGCGGGAGTGGGCGCTAGACCCGGAGACAGAGGAGACCTTGGTTCCAGGAGGGCAGCCAGCCCTTTGGGTCCGTGCAGGAGGGAGCTGAGGTACCGGCGCCCCTGCCCGGGGCCTCCCTCCCCCGCAGAACCAGGGGCCAGGCTGCTTGCTGCAGCCTCTGGCGGGGCTCGGGGATGGGGGAGAGGGTCCAGCATGGGGCTCTTTCTTCATGCTCCTGAAAACCCCAGCCCCAGGGCCTCAGTGCGCATGACCGCCATTGCTGCGGGCTCACAGAGAGGGCGGGGGCCACAGAAGCATCTCAAGTGGAAGCTCCGACAGCGACAGCGGGCCTGGGCCTCCACTTTCCGGCCCCAGGGCCTTTGCCCTGCCCCTCCCTTTGTTCCCTGGCTGCTCTTTCTCCAGACCAGGCTGGGGCTTGCTCCGGTGGGTTTTTAGTCCTCTGCTGGCACATTACCTCCTCCGAGAGGCACCCTCGGGGCTCCCCTCCCCTCCCCGATTTCCTGCCTTAGCTCTTAGCGCTGTGGATGGTGTAAGATTTTGTCCCGTGGAGGGTCTAGTTCTGTGACCAGCGTGTGAACCCCACGGCCGTAGGGAGTTTGGTCTTTGTTCACGGCTGCGCCCAGTGCAGGGCAGGGCGCTCAGTCGGCGCTCAGATGGCGCTCAGACGTTGCAGGGATGAAGGAAACGAAGGGAGCGCCCCCAACCCTGGGGGCGTTCAGGTGGCCCCCCCCCACCAGATACACTCATTTTCGCCTCTGGCACTTGGCTTTCCTCCTGGAGAACCCCCAGACCCCCTGCCCTTTTGCCGGCCCCGACGCTGCTGCTGGTGGCTGGTTCCCCAGGAGGAGGCCCCTGGCCGGGAAGGAGGCCGGTGGACCCTGGAGGGCGTGGGGAGGCGGCGGCCGCCGGTGTGACCGGCCCCGCTGACCGCCCGCTGACCGGCCCCTCCCTCGCCCGCAGGCCAACGAGTGCATGCGCATCAAGATCCTGGGAGACTGCTACTACTGCGTGTCAGGCTTGCCTGTGTCCCTGCCCACCCACGCCCGGAACTGCGTGAAGATGGGGCTGGACATGTGTGAGGCCATTAAGTAGGTGCCAGGGGCACGTGCGGGACCCTGGGGCCTGTCCCTGCCGCGGCCCCTCCTGCCTCCCCGGGCACGGTGGGGACCGCATTGTCCCCATTCCTCGGATGAGGAGGCTGAGGCTCAGGGTGCAGGCGGCTGGCTGGGATCACGGAGCCGTCCCTTTTGCGTCCCTCCCTCTGGGGCTCCTTGTCACTGAGTGTCAGACGCACGGAGCTGGGGAGCGTGAGGAGGGGCAGCTGGGCTGCCGTCCTCCCAGGGCGGCCCTGGCGGCGGCCGGGGCGCTGGCCGACGCGGACCGGCTCCGAGCTGGCCTGCTTCCTGCTCTCTTTGAAGACCCTGGAGGCAGCGGGCAGCCTCCCAGCCCCCCAGCCCCCAGGCCTCCCTTCCCCCCAGCCCCCACGCCCCTTGAGGGCCTCTGGAGCCCCAGCATCCATCATGGTCTGTGGGAAGCGCCTGCCGCGGGGGTCAGGTGGGCGGTGGAGGCCAGGGGGCTGGGTCCGCTGCCCAGAGCTCACGGCAGATGGCAGGGGCAGGGCTGCTGTGGGGGGGCCGAGCTCCAGCTCTCCCCACCTCGCGGAACCTCCCTGGAAGCCGCGGGGAGAACCGGCAAAGGCGCAGGGTCCCCGTCCTAGCCTGGCTCGGCAGCCCCGCCCGCCTGACCTCAGGCAGCCCGCGCCCCAGACGTGGAGGCTGTGCGGGTCCCCTTCTGTTCCCTCTGCCTGGGCCCTGACGGGCTTATCCATCCCCTGTTGATGGACACACGGCTCCGGCTGCTCCCCAATTCATTCTCTCATCAAAGGGACCCAGAGGCCTGCCTATGTTTGGGGGAGCCCTGTGCCCCGGGGATGGTGTCACTTGGGCTTCTTGTCCTGCGGGATATTAACGCCCGACCCCTGGGGCCCCCGTGCTCGGAAAGGACCCCCAAAGCCTGGCCCCCATGATGTCTGTGTCCGACTGTTTGGAGGGTGCCCCGCAGCCCCCGGGCTCCTGGCTTCCTTCCGGAACCGAGTTGGTGCTGCGGGCTGGGGAACACCCTGGGGTAGCGTGTGAGGGCCTTCAACGCGGGCCATTTGGAGCTTCCTCCTCCTCCAGCCTCTGATCTCGGGGTGGCCACGCTCCCAGAGACGGGGTGCTGAGCTCCCTTCAAGGAGACGGCCCCTTCGGGCTGAGAGGGCCCCCGCCCCGCACCAGGCCCTGCCCATGCTGGGACCTCGAGCCACCCTGGAGTCCGGGGCCCCACAGGCAGCCCTGGCCGGGGTGAGGTGACCCCACTCCCCCTCAGGCAGGTGCGGGAGGCCACGGGCGTGGACATCAGCATGCGTGTGGGCATCCACTCGGGGAACGTGCTGTGTGGTGTCATCGGGCTGCGCAAGTGGCAGTACGACGTGTGGTCCCACGACGTGTCCCTCGCCAACAGGATGGAGGCAGCTGGAGTCCCGGGGTGAGGCTCTCCGGGCAGCCCTGGGGCCAGAGGCTGAGGCCGGGCCGCCCTGCGGGTGGTGGGGGGTCAGGGCGGGGCTCGAGGCAGGAGCCGTGGCCTCGCGGCGGGGGGGCCAGGCTGCGGGTGGACTCCTGATCGCCCGCCTGACTCGGGTCCCCCCCTCAGCCGGGTGCACATCACAGAGGCAACGCTGAGCCACCTGGACAAGGCCTACGAGGTGGAGGATGGCCACGGGCAGCAGCGGGACCCCTACCTGAAGGAGATGAACATCCGCACCTACCTGGTCATCGACCCCCGGGTACGAGGGCTCAGACGCAGCGGGCGGGGGGCCTACTCCTGGGGCAGGGCCCTGCAGGGAGAGCAGGGGGCGGCTGCCGGGGCTCCCAGCTTCCCCGGGAAACGGGCTCCACAGCAGCGGCTTCCCGGGAGAAACCGCGGATCCGGGGGACACATGCACGGCCGCCTGGCGCGTCGTGAACACCCTGGCAAGAAGTCACTATGAGTTCATTTTCCGTGCGGTTGTCACTCATCTCCCGGTTTTCAAAAGACACATTCTAGAAGTGCGCTTTGAGGGAGACTTGGGAAAGCAGGGGATGGCCGTGGGCCCAGCCTCCTTGCGCCCCGGGCTTTGACACGTGGTGTTGCCTGGTGGGCCGATGGCCCTGCTGTCATTAGGCCCCCACAGTGGTGGAGGCCCTGGGACTGCTCCTAGCCGGCCCCACGTCCGCCCCGGAGGCTGGCATGTCCTGGAGCCACTGGTGAATCATCCTTGGGCCTCGCTCAAGAATGTCGGCCACGCAGGCTCTGCGCTCCCTCTCGCTCCGGCCTTGGCTGTCCTCAGGGCCGGCCGGCCGGCCTGCCAGCCTCCCCCCCCCAGCCCCGCCCCGCCCCGCCCCACCCCGCCCCGCCCCACGAACCACTGAGTGCACAGCGAGGGCAGGCGTTTCTCATGCAGGGTTCAACCCGCTGCCTCTACTGTATCTGGTGCTCTGCCTCCCACCCCGGCTTGTGGTGGCGAGCTTTCCGTGGGGCCTTGTCCGTGGCCAGCACGTCCCCCTGAAGGGGGTCTCTGATTTCTTGAGTTGCTGCCCCCGGGGTGTCTGATGGGAGGGGGAGACAGACAGGCGGCCTGCCCCCGCGGCAGGGCAGGAGCTCACGTAGGGCGCGGTGCGTCCGGGGCCCTGGGCCTCTCACCCAGGCCGGGTCCCACGCCGTCCCGCTGGCTAGGCAGACTGGCGCCTCTCCCAGAAGGAGGCTAGACGTTTCCAGGGAGGTTGCCGCTGCAGTCGCCCAAGTGTTTGTGAGTGTAGGTGTTGGTGGGGACCCGAGGAAACGGGGACTCCTGGAGGGCAGTAACGTCAGGGGTTCAGGGCTCTCAAGAAGCCTCTAGATGGACCCAGCTTGTCTCTGGTGGCCTTGGCCTTTCTCGTCCTCCCCGGCTGGGGAAGGTCCAAGGCGTGGTGCTTTCCGGGGGCGGGACCCTCCTTCGGGGCCTGGCCGAGCCACGGCATCCCTGGCACAGCGCTGGCAGGCAGGTGGGCAGTCGTGGACCCGTGCTGCGGTTTGGGGGCCGCACAGGTGGAAATCACTAAAACAGTGCCCAGAGGCGAGGGGTGGCCCCGTGGCGGGGCGTCACTGTCTCTCTGGGTGGTCAGCCCCCCACGTCCTCCTGGCTGGTCCCCACAGGAAGGACACGTGGTGGCCACATGTGGGAGGGCAGGGACTGCCGCCTGTGGCTTCCCTGGGCTCATCTCCCCTTCACGGGCGCCTTCACGGGAGGGGCCCCAAGACATCGCCTGGTTCCCAGGAGGGCAGGTGGGGCCTGGAACATGTCCCTGTGTCAGTCTCTCCCTGGGGAGGCGAGATACAGGTGTGCGAGCCGTGCACAGGTGCGGCTTGTCTACTCCTGGGGGGCGGAGGGCCGGCCCCCAGATTGGGGCCTGGCTCAGCCCGTCCCCCGGGACCCAGCCTGTCTCCCGGGACCCAGCCTGTCTCCCGGGACTGCAGGCCCAGGGGGCAGGTGGGCCACGCACTTGGCAGCTCCGTGTTTCGGGGGCTGGAAAACGAGGGGGGACGGGCCGTGTCCGTGTCTGCCCGCAGAGCCAGCAGCCACCCCCGCCCAGCCAGCACCTCCCCAAGCCCAAGGGGGACGCGGCCCTGAAGATGCGGGCGTCCTTGCGCATGACCCGCTACCTCGAGTCCTGGGGGGCTGCGCGGCCCTTCGCCCATCTCAACCACCGAGAGAGCGTGAGCAGCGGCGAGACCCCTGTCCCCAGCGGCCGGAAGATCAGGGTAGGCCCCCTCCTCCTGGGGAGCTGGGGGCTGGGATGCCCTGCGAAGTGGGCGGCGGAGCCCGTGAGATGGGTCGGTTTCTGCCCCGCTGCCTCCTGGGGCTGGAGGCGTGTGGGCGGTGCCCCAGGGTGGCTGGGACGTGTCCGTCCCCCTCAGGCCCCAGACGAGTTCAGCCTCGATTCAGGATGCAGCCAGGGGAGTCCCGACACCCTGCCCGCGTAGCCGAGATGCAGGACCCAGGCCTGCGACGGGTCCGCGGCCCCGCGCCCTGCGGAGTAACTTGTCTCTTCTCCTCCCTTCCAGGCCATCCCCCTGCGGCGCCACCGGACCCCCGACAGGTGGGTGTGCGGTCCCCTCCCCTGTCAACGTGCGGCCTGCCTTTCTAGCCAAGTCCTGTCCCAGTCACTTCCTCCAGGCAGGCTGCCCTGACCAGCCTCTGCCCAGGAGGGCAGCTCTGGGAGGCCCGGCCCTGGCCACGGAGCTTGCCGTGGCTCGGATCAGAGTGTTTCTAGAAACCAGCACCGCACAACGATTGAGCGCCTGCTGTGTGCTCCCCTGAGGGGCCGGCGTGGAGGGGGGCCAGCGCTGCTGTTTCCTGCTGGGCTGCCAGCCGGCCGGGCCCTGCTGGGCCTTCGCCTGCCCTCGCTGGGCCCCAGAGAGACCTGCCTGCTGCCCCTTCACCGTCCCGCACGAGGCTCCACACCGCTGCCTCTGCGCAAGGGGGCCTGGGGCTGAGGCCTGTGGGTGTCTGATTCCAGGAGTGCGTCCCCCAAGGGGCGGTCGGAGGACGACTCGGACGATGACGAGATGCTGTCAGCCATCGAGGGGCTCAGCTCCACGAGGTGAGGCTCCTGGACCTCTGCCTGCCCGGGCCCTCAGACGGGGCTGCCCGCGTGGCCTGGCCCCCGGCGACCCAGCCCCAGGCACGTCCATGGCGTTGTTTTCCCTCCCCGGTGCTGCCTCCTGAGGGTGGGTCCTCCCCGGCCCTGCCGCCACCCCCCGACACCCGCGGCCCCCGACACCTGCCGCCCCACAGGCCCTGCTGCTCTAAGTCCGACGACTTCCACACCTTCGGGTCCATCTTCCTGGAGAAGGGCTTTGAGCGAGAGGTGAGGGCCCTGGGCAGCCCCAGGAAGGGGGGCGCCGAGGCCTGGGGGGGACACAGGGTGCCGGCCACGGGCACCCGCGTCACGCGTCTTGCCCGCTAACCCTCGGCCTGCAGCCGGGGCGGAAACTGCCCTCCAGCTCACAGACTCTGGGAGGTTTCGGGGCATCTTGGCCTCGGGTGGCCCATCTAGGGGTGGCCTATCTAGGGGCGGCCCAGCCCCTGTACCCGCGTACCAGGACCCCTCCCCGGCCTTGGCCTCCAGGATGGGGGTGCCACCTCTAGCAGGGGCTCCGGGCGAGGGGCCCTCTGGGGCGGGGGGCCTGGGGTCTGGAGGCAGACGTGGGCCCAGGCTGGGCCGGGCGGGCGGCAGGCTCTGGGAGCTGGGTTTGCTCATTTGCGCCAGGAAGCCTTGTGAGCCGCGGCCGTGCCATGGTGCCACGTGTCCGGGTGGAGGAGGGGCGGGCAGCCCGGGGTCCCCACCCGGCCGCCCGGGGCCCGGCCCGGCCTTACTCTTCGGTTTGGGGTGAGGACAGATCCCCCACCAGCCCCAGAGCCCAGCGGTGGCTGCAGACTTGGGCCCTGGGCTTTCCAGGGGCCTCGGACATCAAGTGGGAAACCCGGGCCGGGGCCGGGGCGGGGGCGGGGGTGGAGGGCAGGGGGAAGGTGTGGTCTCTGAACACACAGCCAGAACAAGTGCGAGCTGTGGGTCCCTGAGGATGGCGCAGTGTCACCTGTGGTGCAGGGAGGGCGCGAGGGTTTTCTAAGGCGGCCGAGTGGAGCCGCCCAGCCACCCGGGAGGGGCAGGCAGCGGCCCTGCAGGCGGAGCCTCCGCGGTCCTGGCCGCCACTCACAGTCTCTGTCGCCCCCAGTACCGCCTGGCGCCCATCCCCCGGGTCCGCCACTACTTCGCCTGCGCCAGCCTCGTCTTCGTCTGCATCCTGTTGGTCCACGTCCTGCTGATGCCCAGGTTGGCCCGGGGAGGGGCGACGGTGAAGCCCGCTGGGGTCCGGCGGGGGCGGGGACTGGGCCTAGCCCGGCCACTTCAGGCCTCGGAGCCCCAGGGCGGGCCCAGCCACAGTGTCCCTGCGCCTGCAGTCGGGCTTGGTGTTTGCTTTAAGCGGTGTCAGAGGGGCGGAAGGCGACCATGCGCCAGGGAATTGGGGTCCTGGGAGGGGCCGGGGAGCGTGTCTGGGGTTCAGTCTGGGCAGATGGTCCCCCAGAACGTAGATTGTCCCCTTCCATCCAGGACGGCGGCCCTGGGGGTGTCCTTTGGGCTGGTGGCCTGCGTGCTGGTGCTGGTGCTGGGCCTGTGCTTTGCCCATGAGTTCTTGGTGAGTGGGGAGGCCCCGGGCGGCACATCCACGGGGGCTCCACTGGGGTGGGGGCTGTGCAGGTGCAAGCCGCTGCCTCCTGGACCTTCCCTGGTGGGCGGTGCCCCCTCAAGCCCGCCCCGCCCCCGCCCCCGCCCCCGCCCCCGCCCCCGCCCCCGCCCCCGCCCAGTCACAGAGCGCGGGGCGCTTCTGGCGCTTCTCCTGAGCTCTGCCTGCCTGGCCTGCTCGCGTAGTCCCCACTTGGCCGTAGCTGTCCATGGCCCCGGGCTGTGGGCGCCCCTCCCGTGCGGGACTGCAGCTGCCTGACCGGACCCTGTGGTCCCGCAGAGGTGCTGCCCCACCTGGGGGACGCTCCCGGCCCTGTCCGAGAGGGTGGAGACCCACCCGCTCCTGCGCTTGTCCCTGGCCATCCTGACCATTGGCAGCCTGCTCACCGTCGCCGTTGTCAACCTGGTGGGTCCTGGGCGCGTCAAGGCCCCCGCGCCTGCCTCCTGGGGGGAGCGAGCCGGCCCTGACCCTGGGAGCCTCCCCACCCGAGACCCCCAGAATTGCGTTGCCTGAAAGCCACAGGTCAGGCGACCCCCTGCAGGGCCCCGTGGCCGGGCCTGGGAGGTTCCATGGCTGGTGAGAGCTGGGGGCCCCAGATCCACGGGGCCAGCCCCGCAGGGGTCCTGCAGCGCACGTCCTCTGCGCCCGTCCTTTCCTCCTGGCCCTCTGAGGACCCCGTGTCACCCTCTTGGAAACTCGGGAGCCGTCCTGGGCACACGCAGGGGGACGGGGGTGCCGTCGCGGCCGTGGTCACGTGCTCCGTGCCTCAGACTGTTCCTGCGGGCCCCTGTAGCCCCACATCGAGAGCCAGGGCCTGTCCCCGCTGCGTGCCCACTCGAGACTCTGACCACCTTGCTCAGGGGCACCGGCGGCGGCAGCACTGACCCCAGCACCTTCCCGGCCCCTGTCAGCCTCCAGCTCAGGGTGGGGCCCTCCCCGTGTCTGTCCTTGAACCCGTCTCTCCCTAGCTGTCCCCACTGAGGCTGACGGCTGCTGTGGGGAGTTGGGGGGCCCGGTGTCCCTGGGCCAGCTCGGAGCCCTTGGGCCTGGCAGGACATGCCCGGGGTGCTCACGGAGCTCACGGAGCCCTCGGGCCTGGCCCTGTGCGGCCCTGTCCCTCTGCAGCCGCTGCCGCCGCCGCCTTCCCCAGCCCTGGGGCTGCCGGCCGGGAACGAGTCGAGCCCGAGGGGCCTGAGCAGCAGGGACAGGACCCTGTGTGAGCTGCTCCCGGTGAGAGTACCAAGCCTTGCCCCTCCCAGGACAGGCGGGGCCCGCGGGGGCTGCGGGGCGGGGGGACCACAAGCGCCCGGGCCCCTCACCCTCTGGGTGGCCTGTAGTGTCTCCATTTTGATAACGAGGAAGCGGGCCGGCGAGGTTGCCATGGGGTGCAGGGCCGGGCGCCCGGCCGGCTGCCGCTGGAAGTTCCACAGCAGGATGGCGGCTGTGGGGCTTCAGGGGCGACAGCAGCCTGTTTTGAGCTGTTCCTTAAAGGGCAGAAAGGTTATGGCGGGGCAGGGGGGACAGTGAGGCAAAGGCCTGTAGCAGGAGGTTCTGGGGCAGGGGTGTGGGGGGGGAGGGTGGTGGCCAGCGGTAGGACCGACCCAGCTCAGGGCGGGGGGTTTGGTCTAGCGGGGGCGCTGGGGAGCCACGCGAGACCGTGAGCCGGGGAGTAGCGCGGGCAGAGATGCGCCCCAGGAAGGGCACGCTCATGGCAGAAGGCGAGGCTGTCAGGCGCGTGCACGCCTCTCCGCTGCCCTTTGTCACGTCGCGTGCACGCCTCTCCGCTGCCCTTTGTCACGTCGCGTGCACGCCTCTCCGCTGCCCTTTGTCACGTCGCGTGCACGCCTCTCCGCTGCCCTTTGTCACGTCGCGTGCACGCCTCTCCGCTGCCCTTTGTCACGTCGCGTGCACGCCTCTCCGCTGCCCTTTGTCACGTCGCGTGCACGCCTCTCCGCTGCCCTTTGTCACGTCGCGTGCACGCCTCTCCGCTGCCCTTTGTCACGTCGCGTGCACGCCTCTCCGCTGCCCTTTGTCACGTCGCGTGCACGCCTCTCCGCTGCCCTTTGTCACGTCGCGTGCACGCCTCTCCGCTGCCCTTTGTCACGTCGCCACACCACGGGCGTTTTATTACATTGTTTTCCTTGAAATGAGTTCACTTGCCAGAAGTGAAAGTAAAATTACAGTCAAAACAACAGAGCAGTAGGAAGTCTGAGACCCCGTTGCCTGCTGGTCATTAGAAGGGAGGTCAGGACGACGCTGACTCGTCACGGAGGCACAAAGGTGGGCCCGGGGCGTGTCTCTGAGGTGCGGGACAGTGGGGTGACCAGCACCCTGTCTCCCCAGTACTACACTTGCAGCTGCATCCTGGCCTTCGTCGCCTGCTCTGTGTTCCTGCGCGTGAGCCTGGAGCTGAAAGTGGTGCTGCTGACGGTGGCCTTGGTGGCCTACCTGGTGCTCTTCAACGTCTCCCAGTGCGCGCAGTGGGGCTGCTGTAGCTGCGGCCTGGGCAACCTCACCGAGACCAATGCTACCCTCAGGTGGGGCCCCGATGCCACCCCCGTCATGACTGGGGCCCACGGTAGCACCTGTTTCCGTGTCATTTCAAACTGCGGTGCTGGTGCTTCTGATTCTTGGCCCCAGTGGGCAGGATGCTGGGGGGCGGGGGGCACTGCGTGGTGCCCACTTTACAGAAAAGCGCCAGGTCTGCAGCTCCGAGCAGAGTGGGACTCGCGGGCAGGTTCTCCGGGGACGTCCCTGGTCTCGCAGAGGCCTCCCGGGCTGCCCAGTCTTTGGGCCCGTCAGGGGGTGCGGAGGTGGCTTCGCTGCAGCCCAGCCCCTGCCCAGAGCCGCAGCCGCAGCCGCAGCCGCAGCCGCAGCCGCAGCCGCAGCCGCAGCCCTAGCCCTGGAAAGAGCAGTTGCGTGTGCTCTGTGTCTGGTCAGGTGGCTGGCACCTGTCTTCTGGGAAGCGCTGGTGAGCACATGGTTCTGGGGGCTCCGGGCCACGCCTGGGTTGAGAGGGGTCCTGGCTCCCCCTGAACGAAGAGGCTGGCCCATGGGGCCCCAGAACAAAACCTGCCCCTGGGGGTCTGCCGGCCCCTGCTAACTCCTGCCAGCGCACGGCTTCCCGGATCACCCCCGTCCCACTGAGGCCCCGGCCCCTCGCTGCTGCGCTGCTGGGGGCTTTCGCTTTAGATGGGGCTCGTCCTCATCGTGTGGGTGTGAGCGCAGGTGTCACCTCAGTGAGGCCTGCCCACCCCCACCCCTCCCCCCTCCCCCTTACCCCCCTTCCCCCTTCCCCCCTTCCCCCCTTCCCCCTTCCCCCCTTCCCCCTTCCCCCTTCCCCCTCCCCCTTCCCCCTCCCCCCTCCCCCTTCCCCCCTCTTCCCCCCCTCCCCCCTCTTCCCCCCTCCCCCCTTTTCCCCCCCTTCCCCCCCTTCCCCCCCTTCCCCCCTTTCCCCCCTTTCCCCCTTCTTGGAGTTCTCTCTCGTCTTGTTTACCATCTGCACCGTGAGTGCTGAGGGCAGAGGTGCCCGACTGTGTGGCTCTTCCCTGGGTGCGCACCGCCCCCCGGCGCGTGGGGGCTGGGAACGACCCCTGCCTCCCTGCACACCCCGCAGCTCCCCGGCCTGTCAGTGCAGCAGCCTGAAGACCACGAGCAGCTTCTACCTGGTTCTCTTCTACTTCACCCTCCTCACGCTCTCCAGACAGGTGAGGCCCGGAAGCGCCGACCTGCCCTCCCCGCGGGGGGCGGAGGCAGGGGCGGGGGCGGGCTGCTTGCTGTCTGGGGCACACAGCCCTGCGGGGCGGGCGGGTGCCGGCCCGAATCTCGCTCACTGGGACCGGGACACTGCTTCCCCGCCGTTTGCAGATCGACTACTACTGCCGCTTGGACTGTCTGTGGAAGAAGAAGTTCAAAAAGGAGCACGAGGAGTTTGAGACCATGGAGAGCGTGAACCGCCTTCTGCTGGAGAATGTCCTGCCGGCGCACGTGGCCGCCCACTTCATCGGGGACAAGCTGAACGAGGTGTGGTGGGCGGGGGCCCGGGCCGCCCGAGGGCAGGGAGTGGTTCACAGCACAGCTCCCGTGGGTCTCCGCCGGGCACCCTGGTGCCAGTGTGAGCTGGCAGCTGGAGGGACACAGGCTGGGGAGTCGGGCCTGCGGGGACGGGACACCCCACTCCCTGGGCCTTGGTTTTGGCACCTGGAAGGTAGGGCCCGCAGTACTTGCAGGGTAGGATGGCCACAGGTGCAAGCGTGTCACGCGTTTGAGACCCGAGCAGCCCCAATGAACAGGTGTCTCCGCTGGTTCTGATCAGCAGCGAGCTGCAGACAGAGGCCCGTCTCCTGCCATCTCCCACCTGGGGGTTCTCAACCCTGCTCTGCGGACTCAGATCCCCTTTGAAAGGCCCCCACCCCCACGCAATGAGCCCCCGGCCACCAGGTTGGAGCAGCTGCAGCACCAGGGGCGGGCCCCCCAGAGGCTGGGTGGGTGGCCTGAGGCCCGTGCCTTCCCTCCCGCCAGGACTGGTACCATCAGTCTTATGACTGCGTCTGTGTCATGTTTGCGTCTGTGCCGGAATTCAAAGTGTTCTACACGGAATGTGACGTCAACAAGGAGGGGCTCGAGTGCCTGCGCCTGCTCAACGAGATCATCGCCGACTTCGATGAGGTGCGGCCCGGCTGGGAGTGGGGGGAGGGCGGCGCCCTGTGCCCTGGTAGACGGACGTGCCACCCTCCTGGTGGCTTTTTCGTTTATTCAAGTTCTGTGTCTCCCCTGTGGCATGCAGCTGGCTGAGGTCAGCTGGGGGTCCTTGCAGAGGAGAGATTTCCAGCTCAGCCGGCGCAGCTGACGTGCCCGTGTGCACTGCTCTATAGCCGGCCATTCGCTCCTGAGTTGGAGCCAGAGCCAGAGCCAGATGGGAACGGGAGGGGCAGGGAGGCAGGGACGACAGGCAGGAGGAGCAGGGAGGGCCCGCCTGTCCCTAGAGGAGGGCTCTGCTGTCAGCGGTGGGGGGCAGGAGCCCACACCCCCTCGGAGCCCGGGGCAGCTCGGCTGCTGCTGCCATGGCCCTGTCCCCCGCCGCCCCCCCCCCGGTCCTGCAGCTGCTGTTGAAGCCCAAGTTCAGTGGCGTGGAGAAGATCAAGACAATCGGCAGCACCTACATGGCAGCTGCTGGGCTCAGCGGCCCCTCCGGGCAGGAGAACCAGGTACTCAGCCGGCCTAGTGACCTTGGATCCCAGCCCCCAAGGTGGAACCTAACAGTCCACAGACCTGCCCCCTCAGAGGGGCCCCTCGCAGGCCCTGGCCTATGAGGGAGGGGCCGTGGTGCGGGGGAGGCCTCGGGCCCTCGGCGCATCCCTGCCCGCCGACGGCCCCGCTCCCGGGCGTCGTGCCCAAGTGGCGCTCAAGGTGCTCTGGAGTGTCCATGCAGCCCCGACGAGGCAGGACGGGGTGTGGCCCGCCACGGCCCCGTGGACAGCGCTCTGTCCCCCAGGACCTGGAGCGGCAGCACGCCCACATCGGCATCATGGTGGAGTTCAGCATCGCCCTGATGAGCAAGCTGGACGGCATCAACAGGCACTCCTTCAACTCCTTCCGCCTGCGTGTCGGTGAGGGCGCCGGGGCGGGCGGGGACCTGTGGTGCACCCGGCTGTCTCCCGTGAGGAAAGGTTCCAGAGAGCTCGCTCTGATTAGTTTAGATAAGGATACATCCCTACACAGAGGGTGGAGAGCCACAAGCCACCGGCTTTAATGAACTAGATGACCTTCCAATGCACCGTCACCCCGTGTGGTCACTGGGGGCCCACGGGGCCCTGCTCGGAGCCCGCGTTCTTTAAGAGATGAGCGGGCGCTGGGGCTGTGGATGCCGCCGGGGCTGCGGAGCACCAGTTGCGCCCAACGCGGGAGCGCTGCCCCACCTCCCTCTGGACCGTGCCCCCGCCCCGCCCCCCCCGCCCCCCACCGCCCCCCATGCCAGTCCAGGCGGGAGCCGGAGGCGCGGCCTCTGTGACCGGACGGCTGCTGACGTTATCTGCAGGCATCAACCACGGGCCTGTGATCGCCGGCGTGATCGGGGCGCGGAAGCCTCAGTACGACATCTGGGGAAACACAGTCAACGTGGCCAGTAGGATGGAGAGCACTGGGGAGCTCGGCAAGATCCAGGTAAGAACCCGCGGGGGAAGCGTGAGCGAGGACCTGCCGGAGGGGAGGGTGGCGGGTGGCGGGTGGCGGGTGGCGGCCACACTCTCCAGGGAGGCTGGGCGCGCGGCCCACCGGCAGTTTCCACCCGCTGCTCCTGCACAGGCGCTCCTCCCGCCTCTGAAGCCTTCTGTTTGTTTCCTCTCCAGGTGACTGAAGAGACATGCACCATTCTCCAGGGACTAGGTTATTCTTGTGAGTGCCGAGGACTGATCAACGTCAAAGGCAAAGGGGAACTGAGGACTTACTTCGTCTGCACAGACACTGCCAAGTTTCAAGGGCCTGGGCTGAACTGAGGGCTGGCGGCAGGGCCAGGACTTGCGCGGGCCGACCCCCTCCCCGAGGGCAGGCCGACGGGAAGCCGCAGCCCCTTGCCGGTCACGGCCTTCCACGGGCCTGGCCACCGCTGCCTCCCAGCAGATGGCTCCGCGTGACTCCCGTGGATTCGCACGGGAGGACTTCCGGGGATGCGGGTGCGCGGTCCCAGCTCGAGGCGGCCAGAGCCTCCCCAGGCCCGGGGTGCCAGGCCCTCCGAGCTGCTGGCGTCGGGACGAGGCTCACTGCCGAGGTGCACGCCCTCCTCCGGCCCCTGACCGGACACACCTGTGGGTGCTGGGGCACTAGCTGCAGGAGCGACCCCTTTCCTAGGTGCAGGACTGAGACCAGGAGTATGTGGGGGGGCTGGGGGGCGCCCTTCGCCCCAGGGGACCAGCTGGGGGTCTGCTTCTTGCCTGGGCGAGCTGGTAAACAGCTGGCGAGGGGGTGTCAGGCCTGCTCATGGCTTCAGGAGACAGACCACGGAGGACACGCGCTGTTGTTTTCCATTTCTGCGGTGTGTTTGTTTTAAACGGATACATTATTAACGGAGGTTTTATCCTTTTTAATGACTTCTTAGAGGCTAGACAGCTGTCTTCCCTCCAAGCATATTCTCTTGCCTTTTAACCACTGGCACATAAGTAGGACTCCTGTCCCGTGTCAGCTTATGGGCTTATCCCAGCTCTGTGGGATGTGGCTCCAAGCAAGACGGCAGGGAGGAGCGTGGCCCTGGCACTAAATCAGACCACTTTGGGTCCCATATTTTGAGATAAGGTTCAATAAACAAAAAGCCTAGAAAACTAGGCACAACTCTCAGCCCCGTCCTCGCTCCCCCCTGCAGGCTGCCCTGCGTCCCGCGCCCATGCCGGACAGGCAGGCCAGGACCTGTGGAGAGCCCGGACCACCCCTGCCCTTCGACCCAATTCTAACCCCGAGGGGCCCCGCCCTGGGGGCGCACTCCATGAGGGCACGTGGAGGGCCCTTGCCCAGGAGGCTAGCGCCCTCTCGGATGCTGAGACGCTCTTGTTCTCGCTGAATGAAGCAAGGCAGCTGCAAGAAGCCAGGCTTGTGAGCCTCAACTCTTAACAGAGTCCAAAGCAGCCAAACCAGGCCCTAAGGTGAGAACCAACCAACCTGTCCATTCCTTTTTCTGAACGGACCTCCCTGCCTCGCGCCCAGAGCGGCCCAGGAGCCCTCCCACAGGTCAGTACCCCTGCACAGCTGGGATTCCTAGCCAGGAGACTCCCGCAGACCCCCGCAATCCCACCCAACTATGCACACGGGAGGCTGCAAGAGACTGTCCTGGCAGCAGGCGGGACGGCTCGGCACAGAGGCCCGCCTGGTGCTGGCCGGCGCAGTGCATGCAGCCTGGGCAGCGGCCGGAGCCACGCTGCACTGTGGGCGTGTCCTGACCTGCACAACGGGGTTGGGCAGGCCTGGGGCAGTGCTGAGGTGGTGCGTGTAACGGGAACGGCACAAATAAGTAACAAGACCTTGCGCTGCAAAGGCATTTTATGGCCAAAACGTGGGTGAAAGAAAGCAGGTCTTAAACTGCTTGAAGGGCTGGAGTCCGGACTCTCAGAAGCCGCGGGGAGTGGAGCTGCCGGCTGGCGCTCCCGGGCAGGCGGGAAGGCCCCCCTAACACGCGCGACATGCACCAGGGCACCGGGCCGGCTCCTCCCTGTGCAACATCATTACTTTGTCCTTTCAGCAACGGGAATCCCAATAGGGAGTTTAAAAAGTAACTGGCTGCCATTACTGCGGTTTTCTCTATTTCAAATTAAAGCACTGTGCTCAGATATGATTGTAAGTTTTCAATGTTCAGATCAAAGTGTGTAACTGACCATAAAAGTCACTTGCAGTTTTTTCTAATTATCAAGTCATTTCTTCACGTGCCAGTTTGTTCCATATATGACAGGACAAGTATCTTTTTCTAACGCTGACCTTTCCTATGGGTCAAGGACTTGCTTAAAAGTTCCCACAAAGGTGGCCTCACTGACGCCAGTGAACGCCCCCGCCCCATGAGGTTGGTGGGTTTATTTAAGAAAACTTCCTGACGGAAAAGGAGACCCTTAACCACTGTATATGTGTGCGTGTGTGTGTAACAGGTCACGTGCAGACATATGCTATGAGAAGGTACTTGCAAATGACTAAGGGTTACTCTGTATACTGAGTATGGATCTGTAGCATTTGTTTCAAAACACTTTTTTTTATAAAGTACCAGTGTTTCTACTTGGTTTAGCTTTTCATGTATTAAAATTACCAGTATTAAAAAAACAGGAATGTCTTGAGTTTCAATGTTTTCTCGGCCTTCAGGGTCTCATCTAAAGCAGATCTAAAGTTCGAGGGCCAATCCCGCCCAGTAACCTGGGGCCGGGGGAGCAGGGGCCGTGCCCGCCTCCCGGGAGGCCTCGCCCCACGCCTTGAAGCTGGGGGCGGCCGCAGCCCTCCCAGGGACGCTTTCTGAGTGACCCGTGAGATGCAGCCTGGGAAGTGGGGAGCACGGCGGTTTCTTTAACAGGGCTGGTCAATGCGGGACACTGAGGGGCTTCTGGGGCCCCGCCGAGCTGCTCGCCCGTGCGCTCAGGAAAGGCTGGGGGCGACTCAGTGGCTGCGCACCGCCCAGCTCGCAGGCGCAGGGTCAGCTTGGTTAGCCAACAGAAGTGCCGTCTCTGGGACGTTCAAGTTCATTGTTCCAAAGTTTAATTAAAAACACAATTTACAAATATGCAGTATCTTGTGAAAAGCATTTCCAAGTAAAGAATGAAAAAATATGTACATAATATATAATCAAATACCAGTTAGCTTCCACTCCCATCCGGTCCACACTCAGCAACAGTAGTCTTTTTAGCTTCTTCGAAATCTGAAAGAAAAAACGCACTTTCCTGAGCACCTTCGATGAGCACAGGGCCACCGGGGGAGGCAGCGTCCAGAGGCACTTCCTCCCGGGGCAGGCGAGGGCGACGTGCCCTTTCAGATGCTCTCGGAGCTCTTTTTGCAATTGTGTGACACCTTTAGCTCCATGGACAAGATGGAACGAGAACGGAGTCCCTTCTACACGGACAACAGGCAGAGGTGAGCCTGCTGCCGGCCAGGCGAGCGAGAAGGTGGCCGTCCCCCGACAGGGCCGGGCACGCACCTTCCGTGAGGTCCACCGGGCTGTCTCCCATGGCGGGGCAGGGGACGGAGATGCCCATGGCCTTCCGAACCCCGTATGTGCTGACGACGTCGCCAGGAGTCACTTGCTGTGCAAGTTCTTTAAGGTTATTGGTCACCTGTTCAGCTAGAAAAAAAAAAATCAAAATGAAAATGCTTCTGGGTACTGAAATGCAGTTTCTTCAGAGAACAAGTACACAGATGCCAAGCCTACAGTGTCCACTCTCTCCACGCGAGTGTCCCTCCCCCAGGGGGCTGCCTACCGAGATGCATCTCCCTGTAGGAGGGGCCCAGGAGGCAGATCGTGTTGGGGGGCGGCCTGGTGCTCAGGCGCTCGTTCTGGGCCTCCTGCAGCTCGCGGAGCAGCCTGGTGGTCTCGTCCAGCTTCCTCTGGAACACTTCGGCCTCTGGGGTGAGACAGAGCGCACTGACGAGAACAGCTGCAGGGGCCCCCCGGGTCCCGCACGCGCCGGCTTCGTGGTTCCGTGTTCAGTCATCTCCCCCTCCAATGAGACCACCGCCACAGACGTGCCTTACTGTCCCTGAAGCCTGGCCAGCGGTCAATGGCTCCGTGAGTCTGTTTGGCGGGGACACTGAGCCTTGACTGCCACGTCAGGCGGTGCTCCCCTCAAACCCTCCGGAGACACTCACCCTCAGAGTCAAAAACTTCAACTGGAGCGCCAAAGCTGGCAACCGCCTCCAGCGCCGCGAGCCTGTCCTGGTTGCTGGTGTCTAACCGCCCCGCGGGCTCTACCTCTGTGATCTGCTTTGGGGAGAGGAGGAGGAACGATTGGAGCCTGCTGAGCCCCGGCAGTGCCAGAATGAGAACTCAGTAAGATGGCTGGTGTTCACAGGCTCCACTATTCCATCTATTTACTTTGCAGTGATAATTTGCTGCCTATGAAAACGTCTTTCCAGAATACTTGAAAAATGCCATTCCCAAAGCCGGCCCAAGAAATGTACCTGAATCCACCCTGCTCAGTAAGGTAATGGTGTCTTATACAATCTGTATCATCTGTCACACATGCCAGCAACTGCACATGGCAAAGTGACAGCAGCCTGGGACCACCGTCACTCTGCCCCGCCCGCCCGGTCACCTGAACCCCTGTAGGGGATCTTGTACGTAAGATCCTCCCCAGGCTTCCTCCACGCCCCAAAGACGGGTTGTCAGTGTTCCATGGGACAAACAAAACCCCAAAAAGGGTGCAGTGTTAATTTTGGCATCTTAAAACTGTTTCCATGACTTCAACGTGGCTTTTTAGAAACAGATGGGCCCAGATGGTCAGTAACTGGAAGTCAGCGGTTCCTGTTAGGCTTTGGTACTGCACGCTGAGCTCAAACAATCCGCGCTTGGTTTCTCCACCGACCCACGGGCTTGGGTGCAGCGGGGGCATGGGGCTGCCGGGGCCCTCGGCCCACCACCTGGCTGGGCCTCCCTGCCCTTTCTGTCTTTTCTCTCCCAAACCCCTCCCCCGCCCCACCCCTGAGCACAGGACGGGCTGTAACGGACGTGGTTCTGTAACCACCTACACTGCCACCTGTCTTGACTTGCTCTCCCACCTCTGGGTGTTCTGTCCCCACAGCTGAAGGGCTTACTGAGGTCTCAGATCCTCAGTGTCCCCGTTTTCCCACTCACCTAACTCCTGGAAGTGTCTCTTTTGTCCCCACCACGTTGCTGACAACTCTAAGGTTACGAGTGACAAGCACCAGTCTTCTGTTCCTACCTCACCTGCCAGTCTCCCCCGGGGCTCTGTCCCCCGCCGCTGCCTGGCCCGTGTTCACCCGGACAATCGCACGCGCCCCAGTGACCGGCCCCCCCGACAGCCGGGCGCTGCCCGCTGCACGGCTGACACGAGCTGGCACCACTACTGCCTGCTCGGTGCCAGGTCCTGCCACGGGGCTCCGCATGGCTCTCGCCGCTGCGTGTCTTCGGTCTCCTCCTCTACACTGCCAAGCAAGGCCCACAGCTCACCACTGGTCCCCTCCCTCCAGCCCTTCCCTCCGACACACTCTACTACGGCACTCTACGGCCTGGGATAAAATCTCAACTTCTTAGCACTGTGTATGAGACTGTCACTTGGGCCTCTCCCCAAGGTCCTGCAGTCACTCACTTTCTGAGCTTCGTATATGCAAGAAGGTCCTTCTGTCCTTCCAGACCCAGGCCACGGGTGCCGCCCCACGAGGGGACCCTCAGCCTCCCAGCGTGAGCTCCCCGCCCCGCGCCCCCGCCCGCACGCTGCAGGGACCCGGTCCTCCCGCCGCTGCCGCGCTCCTCGCGGGAGAGGCTGTCCCTCGTCTCACTAGGTACGAGGTGCTTTTCCTTTCAAACAGAGCCATGTCATTTACGTCTTTCAGCTTATTCTCCACTTAAGTATTTTTTTAAAGTACATAATCACCTCTATTTCTTTTGCTGTGTCGAGTGTCCTTGCCTGGCCTTCATCTTCAGGTGATGCCTGTAAGGATAAGGAAAACGACCTTTTATTAGAAGGTACAGAAAAGGGCAAACATCAAGGAAACAGAAAAATAGCCAAAGTCTCGTGGCAAGAGAAAAGGAATACGAATATAGATTATGGCAATGTAATTTTTTAAACCGAAAGCAATTAGCTCTAATTAATAGCGCCTTGAGAGCAT